TTAAAAAAAAGTTTAAACTTTTAAAATAATTCTCTTTAAAATTAAATTAATTTATGATTTTTAGAATAATCTCATTCTATTATCTGGAGTGGAATAATTGGAATTTTATGTAGCAAATTATAAAATTTTACGATGCGAATTTCATTAATAAAGTTTGAATTATTAAAGTTTTACGTGGGAAAAAATTAAATAATTTCTACGTAATTTTTTTTACTTTCTTTTCATACACCTCAGGAACAAAACGAAGTCATTCGGAGGAATCGACTTTTATTTTGAGGCTCTTCTACACCTCAATACGTTAAACTTTAAAAACAAAGCGTGCAAAGGCGGAGAAGAGCCTCAAATTAATGGTCAATTCTGCCGTATGGATCGGATCGATGAGAAAAGGCAACGCAACAATGGGCTATCTGAACCTCCCTAAAGGACTGTCTATGGGAAACTTGCTCCTATTTATGTGTTAGATAGGTGAAGAAAACTTCGAAAAAACGTATAGTAATGAAATGTACATTCAGGCTTGAATTAGTGTTTGAAAGTCACGTGATTTGATGATGCTAATGTCGTTTGCAATGTAAAATTGCACATTTGGGATACATAAATATTGAAAGGTTCTCATTTTTATATTTATGAGGAAGTTCTCGAGTATTCATTGGCACTTTACGTAAGTGGTGCTAATTTGGAGTATGCTCGAGTGAGGCTTCACTATAAATGTCGTTTAAAAGAATCTATTCAAGAATAAAACATTAATATAACAGGTGATCATAATTAAAGTAGCCCTATTCAATGTTTATTTGAAGAAATATTTAGCAGTCCGATGCAACCAAATCTGGTTTGGTGGCATATCGGGACATGTGCAAGACATTTTCGTGAAAGAATAGTACCGGAACTTGCCACTATGGTACTTTTGGCACTACAAGCAAATAAAAAGTAGTTTCCTTTGCTTGCAGCCAAGTTCTGTGTATGACTGGACTGCACTTCGGATGTTTCGAGTCAAAAGAATTTACGTCGAGGATCATTGACTCCATATCACTCGATTCGAAGGAACTAGATCCTTGGGAGTTCAAGGTCCAGGGGGCAAACCTATCACTTCACAAGAGATGTTACCACGTTTCTTGTTGAATAGCCAATGAATAATGTTGCTGGATCCAGTAGTGTCGGTGCAATATCACAACAATTGGGCGTATCCTATGGCACATTGAGGAAGGAACTGAGAGAGATGGTACATTTTATCCGTATAAGATCAGCTATAACCAGCAGTTAGTCCCCGCCGACATGGAAACCCAACTGACCTTTGCATTGACCTTTCTTCAGAATGAAAGTGAATGTTTCGTGGCCTTTGGAAGATCCTGTAGAACGACGAGACACATTTTCATTTCAGTGAAACAGTGGACACTCATAACTGTCGCAATTGGGCCACAGTAAACCCTCATATTTCCTAGCAGATTCACCGAATTCTCCTAAAGTTACAGCCTGATTCTCGGCCACATGCATTCTCGAATCATCTCTTCGAAGAAGGTAATCTCAATGAGCCCTCAACAGGCCTGGAGATACAAAAGATGCCGAATACTTTTGTCTGAAACAACTGCCAACTTGTAATAGAGACAAGGCCTTGAGTCATCCACTTTCACGCATTGAAAGACAGTATGAAGTTACACGTGTAAAGCATCAGTAACGGTCAAATGCAGATCATATTAAGCAATATCTCCAAATCGCTAATGTCCCTCGTAGCAGAAGGGTCTTGCACAAATAAAATATTTGTTGCTCGCAGTGCCAAAAGCGCGACAGTGGTGAGTTTTCGCATGTCTTTAGTTATCATCATAAAAGTTTTGGTTGCATTTTAACTACTAAATATCTCCCCAGACACCTTTAAATAGGGCTACTTTAATCACGACCACCTGGTTTAAAATGAAGTAGCTTATGAATCAATTTTAATCAGAATAAAATAAAATTTAGAAGAATTTATTTAAGAATGAAAACGTCAATAATGCATTTAAATATAGTAAATTAATAAAAGATAAACAAGAAAAGCTATAAAATCAATACTTTGAAGACTGAAGTGATAAAGAATTCCCCCAATTTAAGACGCATCCTAACTACAAATTCGGGATATTTTTTATAAATTTCTAAATTTGCATTAATAATTACTTATCTGCAGCTACTAAAAATAGTTTATTTTAGGCATTACCCGAATAAACATTTTTGTATCGCCTACAAAAACTAACTGAAGGCTGTTCTTTCACCCAATTGCATTTAATCGAAAGTGATTTTTCTCAAATTTTTTTTCTTGATTGCAAGTTAATTTATTTTTATTCGTCTCCTTTGTTTAACAAGACGTGATGTTCCCATATTTAATTTAATTAGACAAAAGTGATACCTTTCAAATTAGAAAATTGAAGTTTATCTTCTTTGTTTAACTAAATTATTCATCCTTATTTAGATACGTTTAAATATTTTTATTATTATTATTATTTTTATTGACTAAATCTGTTATTTTTCCCCATATATCAAACATGATCGATAGCAATTTTATTTATTAACTGATATTGATTTTTATCTCAAGATAAAGTTCCTCCTCCTCTCTCTCTCTAGGTTATCTAACTAATGATACTTTCTTTAATACGAAAAATGGAAATATTATTTCTTTTTATTTAATCAAAATAAGATTTCTGCTCTTATTTTGATTATTGGCAATATATACACTTTTAAGTTTTTGTTTCTTTGAAACGGATTTTACTAATTAAAACTATTTCTTTCATCACTTTACTAATTGAGTGTTCCTTTCATTATTTTGTTTTTCTTCGGATGTGATCCTCTTTTCACTATTTTCCCTTATTGCAACTCGTCTCTAAAATTAACTTCTTTTCTGTTGCTTCCTTTAAGTAAAACTGATGTCATTTTCTTTCTCTTCTCTCCTTCAGCTCTTGGCTCTTGGCTCTGTTCTCCCAAACAAGGCACTATTCATTCAATTCTAACCCATTTGAAGCTGATATGTTTCTATATTTTATTAAAATTAATACAATTGTTAACTAATATGCTATTTTTAAAATATTTTATTTAATATTTTCAATTTTAATTTATCCATTTTCATAATTTTGTCACACCCAACTTCAAACTGAAGCAAAACAAAACCTTTATTTCTTACTCTATTTTCTCCTAAAAAAAAAACTGTTCACTCAATTCGATTCATTTGAGGCTAATATTTTTATATCTTCTTAAAATATATTTTATTAAATATAAAAATAATCCACTTTAAATGGATAAAACTGAGTGAAGAGTGCCAGATTTTTAGGAGAAAATAAGAAGAAACATAGAAAACTTTTTGGCTTCAGTTTGAAGTTGGATGTATCAAAATATAAAAATTTGTAAACTGAAGCAGAAAATTTAATAATTAAAAAATATTAGTATAAGTTTTCAGTTGCAATTTAGCCATTCTTTATACTTCTACACATCCAACTTCAAACTGAAGCCAAAAATTTTTAAATGCCTCCTAAAATAAATAAGATTCTTCACTCAATTTAATTCACTTAAATCTGAAATGTTATATATACATATATTATTAAAATTACTATTCTATTTAACTAATACTCTATTTTTAATTAATTTACTCAATTTTTTTTCAACTTAAATTTATTCACACATCCAACTTCCAACTGAATTATATACAATTCAGCACTAAAAAAAACATGGCAAGATGTTATATATATATATTTATTTATTTATTTTAGGTTATAAAAATTCGAACTGGACAAAAATTTGTGACGAAAAGATAAATTTATTGTGCAAAGATACTGATTTTTTTAATATATTTTTTTTTTGGTTTTTTTTTTGCTCAAAGTAAACAACTTATAACAACACAAAAACATTTATCACAACATTTTATACAAAGGTATCTGTGGTGTGTATGTATGTCTGTGCTTCACGAATTCAAATAACCTTTTTTCTTACAACATTTTCAAATGATAATAATAATAATTAAATGTCTTTAAGACACATGTATTAATTAACATTCACATAAACATTTAAAAGAACAGGAGTTACAGAATAAATTTAAACATACAAACAATTCTTTTTAAAAAATAATTCAATGATATAACATCTCATTACAACTATTTTTCTTAGACTACAACACGAAAAAATTAAAAAAATAATATTAATTAATTAATTAATTAATTAATGTTCTCAACAACTACACCCATGTAAATATTCAAACTACATAGATTCAAAAATTGAAACAATAACAATTAATTGTTTAAACATCCTTGTGATATGCCTCAATTTGTTTTACCAAATATTTTTGATATATTGAAAATGGAGAACAGTAAATTCTCCATTTTAATAAATAAATTTACAATACAACAACAATTTAAAAATTTCATATACATATATTGTTTTTTAATCTCACAGGATTAATTTTGTTTTTAGATTTAATTCCATAATTTTTTTAACAACAATTGGGCGTATCCTATGGCACATTGAGGAAGGAACTGAGAGAGATGGTACATTTTATCCGTATAAGATCAGCTATAACCAGCAGTTAGTCCCCGCCGACATGGAAACCCAACTGACCTTTGCATTGACCTTTCTTCAGAATGGANCAGGCTATTCTCGGTAAATTAAGGCAGTTTAAATAACAAAAATCGGATAAATTAAATTATTGCTGCATGAACTATATTCAAATAAATTTTGATAATGGCAAAAATTATTTACTGTTACAAGCTTCAAATATATACGTCGAAAGGCGTATACATTTGAAGTTGAAACATTGTTTTTATAACATTATTCTAATAAACTATAATTTAGACAAAATTTTTGACATTCAAGTGTCAAGCTTTTAGCATTTATAAACCAAGATTTAATGATAATCATTTTTATTGTTTATATAAGAGATTAAATTGCATGAAATAATTGCTGCATATAATTCTAATAAACTATAATTTAGACAAAATTTTTGACATTCAAGTGTCAAGCTTTTAGCATTTATAAACCAAGATTTAATGGTAATCATTTTTATTGTTTATAATTATTATTACTGACATTTCTTGCTCCAAGATTGATTTTCAAGAGTTATTTCTCCTACCACCACATATACAAGCAAGGCGGAGGAAACGTAATAAACTCTCTCTTAATCTTATATACCATGGACTTGGAATTTTCTTTCTTGAGGAAGATTCTCCTTCCTCTAAAAAAAAAATATTTTGATAATTAGACACAGGAATTTCTAATATGTAGGGTGATTCAGAAGTCTCCATACATAGAGTTCACTTATAACTCACAGAATATGATCTATATGGGTATTTAACTGAATGTATGTTAAGATGTTTGATGTTATATGTACACCATACCCCATACACACCCACCATAAATACATTCTTTTGGATTTATTGTATTTTATATGGAACTTTTGACTCACCCTATATAATATACATTTGCATTCTGTGCAGATGCCAAAATGTTAAAGATAACATGACTCAATTAATCATTAAAAGTGGGACAAGCAAAGAAGAATAATGGATAAAATTTTCAATTTATTTAAATTAATTTAAAAAAAAATAAACATATGTTATGTAATTTAATAACTTTACATAATCTGAAATTTTAGTCTTTTATTCTTAAAATTATTAATAATCATACTTAATGCTAACTATAAATAGTTATTGTTCCTGTATTTAGAAGTCTTAAAAGGTGCTTGAATATCATTTATTCTATGTTTGAATGGAAATCTAATTAGTAAATGTATACTTCTAAGTATGTAGGCATTAATTAATCTTTCATGATTAATCAGCATCTCATTGTCGACTTCAATTTTATTCATTTTAGAACAGAGAGAGAATCATCCGAAATATTCCTTAAATGGAAATATTGGATACAAATTAACTTATTGCTATTCTCTACATCATGCAGTTTATCTTCTTTTTTGATAGCTGTTTGATACTCCAATAAACCATCTTAATTTTTTTTTAATCTATAAGTGGGGTCATTAAAGACAGGAGAGTTATTAAACATAAAGATTCAGAATAAATAACATCAGCAATAATAATAAAACTACTAAACTTAAGTACAATGAATTCATATAAAATTCAGGGCATGTATCCACTCTCATATAAACAACCACAACAATAATTTTTTAAAGTAGATTTCTACAGTTTTATATTGTAAAATAGTTTTTATGTACAGTACCTTCTCATCCCTTTCACCAAGATTTTTACTTATTATTATCAAAGGCCATTGTTTCATTTACATTCTTCTCCATATAAATACGCGCTTTTTAGAATCATTAACAAGAATGATAATTTATATTAAATGACGTCTAACATATTTTTGGATCAGTTATAACTAGACAATGGCGTGACTGACGATTAAATCTTGTGTACTTTAAGTAGTGGAGACTTAGAACAAATCAAAATTACACGAAACGTAGCATGATCATTTACATACAAAGCAAGCAACTAATGATACATGATATGGATTTCAGCAGCGGCAACAACTTTAATGAAAGACATTATCGAATTTTTGTATATAAATGCGTTTAAAAAAAAGCGATAAAAATTATAAAAATACACTTAAAGTTACCGTCTGTAAATAATTTATATTAAATTCTTACCTATTTTCATAGTTTCGAGCTTTGTCGCTGCTCTCTGTAAAGAATAAATATAATAATACGTTAAAAAATTATAAATTATATAAAGATATAATTTTATATTCGAAAATTTAAGTATTCTCAATGCAAAGTGTTTTCCTTTATGTAAAGAAATTTTAATATTAATGAGGAATCTTATAAAAAAATAATCTCTTGTATAGAACAATATAGAGAAATAATTTTTTGATATTATTTTCTTTTAACTTAGAATTGATTTTAAAAAAGGTATAAACATAAAGATAATTCTTAAGAAATGTTGTTTATAGAATTAAAAATTTAAAGAATAAATGGAAGAATCTGATAAAATAAAAAGATATTTTATCAGATTCTTCTATTTATTCACTGAAAAATAACAAGGTTAAAATTATATTTTCATATTTTTAAATTATGTATTTTAAATATTTAAATAAATTTGAATTTGTTTATAAAATTTTTTTTCAGTCTATGATATATATTATATTATTATTTACATAATTAATTTTCAAAAAATATCATTCGTATGATATTTATCAATATTGTGTATATTATTTTAAATTTTTAACTAAATAAAAAACACGTTCAGATACATAAAAAAAAGAAATGTAATTTATATTCAATTTAGATTTAAATTCTTTATTTTAATTCAGTCGATATACGTTACAAATAAACATTTTGTAATTTAATTNAAATAGTTTCGATTATCACTATTTTATCTGATTTACATTTTACAAATAAAACACTTTTAAATAAATACGATACACTTAGAAGTTGGCAAAAATGACAAAAATTAATTTTAAAACTTAAAATATCGCGTCGATATATCTTTTTTAATGACGCTTAGTTGATAAAATTTAAATAAACCAAGTATAGCCAATCAGAACTAGTCATTCGTTTAAATATTTCAATAACTGTAACTTACACGCAGCGCAAAGGCCCGCCTATGTTCTTATGACATTTACGTTCTTTATCATTTTCTAAAATAATTCTAAACGCTTGTGATAAATTCTACGTTAATTTAAATTATTTACAAACGTAATTATTCGAAATTTATTGAAAATACTTTTAAAAATTACCTCTTCTGCTATCGGTAAAGCTTTACAGAAAATGTCTTGTAAATAAGAGAATACGAATTCCCTGAGTTGTTCACTGTCTTTAGACTCCGTAGTTTCGATTGGTTCAACTGGAGACTAGAAAATAAATAAATAAATAAGCAAACTTAAATTATAATTATACTGTATAGAAATTATACAGCGAGAAAATCATGTAAGAAATTGTATATTTTAATACATAGTATATAAATAACCACATTCTATAAATACCAGCTTTATGAATTAATTGTAAAAATAGAATTTATGATTTAAAAATTTATAAGGTATTAAATTGACTACAGATTTTAATTCTGTATTTTTATAGAGTGAAAAAAAAAATGTATTTTAGATTGTAAAGTAATAAAAATGATATGGAATGTAAAGGGAAAAAATTATTTTTAGAGATTTTGTAGCATTTCTACATATCAGAAATGTTTTATATCTTAAGAGAAAAATTTTATGTCTTTCTCGATAAATTCATCTAATCCAATAGAAATATTCTAGAATATGGAATAACACTCAAACTTATCTAGTACGCTCCATTTGGTAAAATTCTCTAGGAGAGATAGGAAAGATAATCCTTTTTAATAATCAACTGAAACAATGTCATAGCTTGAAGATGACCCAGTTTAGACTCTTGCCAACTTTCTTGAAAGCGTTTATTAAATGTTATTCAAACGCAAAGGATTTACAAACATAAAAACCGCTTTGAATAATTTAATCTATCGATTTTCCACTTATGAATTTCTTTACGCGATTTAATTTTTAATTAAAATTTAACACATAAGAATATACCTCTAATTGTAATTCATCTTCGGATTTCACCTGACTATTTTCTAAGCAGGTATCTCCAGTTGTTTCATCAGTCAAACTATCTGTAGGACTAGGTGTTCTGGAGGCAACTACATCTATTTGAATGGTGGGAACTGCCTTTAAAATTCAAATACATATTTATTTTTCCGTGTTAATTACGGTATAATACTTGATTATTAATTAAATTTACAAATTACAGTATAATTTACGAGCATCGTGACTTTCAGGAAAATATTGATAGAATAAATGTAATTTTATCTTTTTTTATTTAAAGCTTGTTTATACGTACAGATTTCTTTAATACCAGTAGAAATGAAGAGATTACCATTTTATTTTTATTTCTTTATTTCTTATTAATGGTGACAATTACTTACCGGAAACGAACAAGATGCGGATGATTCTCCATGTCGATCCTTAATGACAATTTTTGCTTTATTAATGACATCATCGACGATGGTTAATGCTACATCTCTCACCCCTTCTTCATTCTAGAAAAAAAAATACACACAGAAACTTATTTTTAAAAAAATAACTTTATAAAATAATCTATCGCATCTCTAAACTACAGTAAAGGCACATCGATTCTGCATTAAAATTTTAAAAATCCAGAATATAGATTGCTGATAGAACTTAAAATATATCAAGATTCAGAACTAAAATAATATTATTTAATTAATCAGATTTAAATTCAAAATTTGTATAAGATAAGTTTTGAGTTATCCAAGTGATAAGAGAATCTCAATATTTAAGTTAGTAATAAAAATATTTTTTGATGATGTCTGCAAATATTCTTTCTTCTTTACCACAATCAATAAGAATCTTAACAATAAGAAAACTGTAACAAAATACATTTTTTCTGAATGTTCAAATATTGGAATTTATATAATCCACATATCTAAAATGTTAGATATCTTTCATACTCTTTAATAAGGCTAGATTTTAAGATATATAAATGTTCTTTATTTAAGTCACTTAATGTATATCAGGATTTAAACTTAGAGACTCACAAAAACTGAAATTTATAAACAAAAATGAAAATATATTTTAAGAGAAATAAGTTAAATAAAAATATATCACATTTCTGAAGCTAAAAATAGTAGTGAGTAAAAAGGTATCAAGCCATAGATCCTTGTATATCTTAGGGATGAAAGAAATACATGAAAATGGCGTGTATCTCTATGTATCCAGTTAAGATCTGGAATGAGACTCAGTTACATTTCCAAGATCCAGTGTATATTTGTAGAGACTCGGTTACATTATTTTTATTTCCGTTGCTTAACTCTATTTATATGAAGAAATTCAGAGTATTATCGATCTGTAACTTTAACCAACGAATTTTTCGGGTAGGAGCCACAAGATCGATAAACGATAACATTCGAGAGTTAATTTACACTTCTAATCTTCAGAAATTTAAAGGTTAAAGCTATAAAATTATCTTCCTAAATAATATATATATAGGCCTATATATATATATATATATTTATAAACTCTTACAAAATTAAAAGATTTACACAAGAATTTCATCTAAAAATGATAACTAATTACTTGAGGCGTTTTCATTTAAATTATTTTTAAAACTCGTTAATAATTACGTTATATACACATTAAAATTATTCTTAAAATTATCTAAAATCGATTTAGTAATCTAAAAATGTATCATATGAGTGGAAAAATATGAAAATTTATTATGATTTTAATGCTTGAATTACTTACATAATCCGCCCAGGAGCCATTTTCCATGATTTCAGTTAAAGGACAGTTGTCGGTAACAGTCGCCGCTCCTCCATAAAAACAATAAAAATATATAAAATTTAAATGAATAATTTAAGGTTTTCGATTATTAATTATAATATAATTTACGAAATAATTTTTATTTTTATCGCAGTTCTTCGCGGATCAATAACAGGTGTAAATAACTATCAACTTAAAAATGATTTTTCTGCTGTATTAATTAATGTTTAACGTGACCTTTTGACCCTCTAAATATCTTTAACATATCTATAACCAATCAGGAAATTTCTCTCTTTGTTAATCTATTCTACAGGATAATTTTATTTAGTTCCTAATGGTAATGAAGGAGATCTAATTGTGTGCGATGAATGAACTTCAACCCGATTATAATGAAACTGTACATTTTAATTAAGAATTAGACATTAAATTGTGATTTATATACGTTTGGAGGATGCTGACGTATTAAAAGCATTTAGAAAAATTACGAAAAATGTTGGTTAATCAGAGCATCTTTTATGCATAATATGCTACTAACGAGACATGTATGACGACGTCACGCGCTTCCAGCTACCCTCTCACCCCTTTTATATTAATGGAACATGTTAGTTACTATAGCAACTGGAATGAATATGTTAGACGAACAACAAAATCAACAGTTAGGGAGTGTAACAACAAAAAAAATTTACTAATTTTTATTTAATGAATAGAATAAATCACGGATTTAAATTTATTTAAGTTTTTTTTTTTCCCTTAAAGACGTAATAATAAATTATTAAATTGGAATTTATAATTAAATATAATGATTTTGAATTAATGATAGTAATTAAAAAAATATGAATCTTATATCTTTAATGCTAAAAATTATAATAATTTTAACATTTCTTGCATTTAAAATTATTCAAAATTTAATAAAATCGCTTCAAAAATAGGTTTTGTTTTATTTTATTTTAAAAATGATTATTATTTTAATACTCCAATCGATACTAATAACAATTTTTTTTAACATTAAGAATAAACATTATTGGCTACAGCAGCACCAAAACGGAGAAAAGTCGAAACAAAAAATATTTATTAATTTTTTTTTAAATTATAATTCTATAAATTTAATTAAACTTTATAATTAAATGTTGAGTTTGAAAGTGGTATTTCTATTTAGAAACGTTTTATTTCGTTCGTTTTAATTCGGGAAAAGTAATAATAATGATAATAAGACATTCCAATAAGCTTATAAAACAAATGCAGTATATAAATTTACTTTGAAAATGTCTTTATTTTTAATCTATTTATTACGATTTCTATACTCCAATCGATGCTAATACGAACTGATCCATGAAGATAACGAATAAAATAAACGGTCCTATCTTGAAACGGAGAAAAGTTGCAAAACACTAAAATGGTCTTAGATGCCCATTTCAACAATGGGCGATTTACTAAATGGCTTCCTGTTATAATTGCGGATATCCACAAGCAGCAGTAGAAGCAGTCCAAGTTACGATAATATGGTTGATTCAGGCCATTACATCAAATGCGAACAGATTAAAGCGGATAGAGATGAGTCGAATGGTAAAAATAAAGCGATAATTCGGCAATTTAAAGCAGCGATTTCAATTATTATAGTGCACGAATGAGTTTCAATCTCAGATTAGTTCATGGCTATTGAGATGATGAGAAAGTTAGAAAAGTAAAAGGAAACCCGAAAGCCATAAACCAATTGTCCTTTACGAGATTGTGGCATAACCCCGAAAACAATTGGCAACATCTGGATTGAAGAAAATGAAAATAAAACATTAATGGAAAAGGAATCATGTATTTAACTTCAGCAAAATTTGTATTCAGGAGAAGCCGCGATAATTAACGAAGCTGAATATTGCATAGGAACAATTCATTAGTAACTCATTACGGCGTAAGAGTTAGCTCAATTTACCAACTCTATAATTATATATCTTGGTAATATAATTACCAAAGGCGTAAAGATTTTGTTGTTTGAATAATAATAAACACGAGAGAAATTTTTTAAAAATAACTGCAAAAAAAACTTTGATGTAATAAATATAAGAGGAAATTCCTTTATCATTGAGATGTTCGAAGAATTGATTTGTCGTCTACTCATCTGTAAGAAATGTCATCTACAGGAAGAAGAGACAAGGGAGCCAAATATCAACTAATTCTACTATCTAGCATCCTTTGAATGGAAAGGGAAAAGAAAAATAAAGCATTGCTTATCATTGTATCTATCTACAACGGAGAGTAATTCACATTTCCTACAACTTAAATAAACCACAGCTCCATTTTAAGAAAGAAAAATAATTGATTAAAGATAGAAATATGCAAACTCTCCTTCGACACTTTTCTTAATTAAATAATACGAAGATTTAAAGCTTCAAAATGCGATTTTATAAGAAAAAAAACACAAATTATAGCTGCAAGGAATTGCATTTCTCCATTTTTTCCAATATAAAAATATATATTTATTTTACTATTTTATATAACAAATAGTACCATTGATGTATCCGGTCAATGATTACGTTGCTTTCACGTGTACCAAATACAATATATTAACCACGTTATCCGCCTTTTAATTGAATTTATCACATTATAAATTCGCTAAAAATCTTAATTACGAATTTAAATTTAATTATTTATTTTTATTATTTTACAATGGACCGTTTATTAACGTTCAAGAGGATTTTAAAATAGCAACCGAGTACTTTAGAATCTTTTAATTATTTTTACAGATGTATCGTTTTCAAGGTAATCTTTCTCTTGATAGTTTCCTCTTATAATTAATTTAATTGTACGAATTATATGCGAAAGTATATTTGAATGTATTTTTGAATATTTTTACCTCCATCTTGTCCTGTAAAATTTGCATATTTAAAAAGAAGAAAAAAATCTTCCGGGAATGTTATAAATCTTACAGATTTACTGCAGCAATATCATTCAAAGATTCACAAATTCAATTTAAAAAAAAAAAGCAGAAATATTTTTAAATTTCTGTAAAAAAATTATATTTTTTATAAATTTTTCTTTCTATATTTTTACAAATTTCCATATTCTTTCAGGCATTTTCTAATTTTTTGCAAAAAAATTAAATATGACTTTTTTGCAGAAATAATTATCTTTGAAATATAAAAATATTTTATAATAAAAAATTATGCAAAAAATTAGAAAATTACTTAAAAATTTCTATAAAAATGCAAACAATTTTGTATTTTTACAAAATACCCAACTTCTAAGTAAAATACTAAAGTCTTTCAACGAGGGACCTCACACCAATGATGCTATTCTATGGATGAAAAGGACAATTGCCTGGGACCACTCACTAACAGTTGGTCCCGAAATAATCTTTTATAAGACAATTTTGTATTTTTACAAAATACCCAACTTCTAAGTAAAATACTAAAGTCTTTCAACGAAGGACCTCACACCAATGGTGCTATTCTATGGACGAAAAGGGCAATTGCCTGGGATCACTCACTAACAGTTGGTCCCGAAATAATCTTTTATAAGAAAATATTCTCTCCCCCAAAAAATGTCTGAAGTCAACACTGTACAGGGGTTCCCTAATTCGAATTCTCCTGTGCCCATTGTCTCACACGGCTGAAAAACAGTTTAAATATGTGCAAATATACTTAATTTNACCTATGAACGTAATGAATTGTTTATAACAGTATTAGCTACACTATCTACTGGAAGAATATTCATAAGGTAAATTGAAACTGCCAACTTCAGAGACTAAGTGGATGTAAATTATTCAAATGAAGCGCATTGAATTGGTTACAAGTAACTAAACTTAAATTATTTCTCTACAAAATCTTCATATTAGATATAAATGAGAGACAATTTAGAATATTTTAATATTAAAAATAGCATTATAAATATTTGGTTATATCATTTCTAAATTATACATTATTTCAGTGTTAATTATTTATGACTGGATTTATTAAATTCTAAAATGTGACTTTATGGTCCTTATGTAAGGTTTTAAAAGCATCAGTTATTTAATTAAAATAATTTTGTTTTCTTACGAAAGTAGCAAATTATATAAAATTTAACCTTAAATAATATATGCCAGAGGAATTATCAGAACGTAATTTCTTCAGTCTAATTAATAGTTCTAGCTACTTGGAACATGTAAAAGTAGGCAAAAAACATAAGTAATTAGCATTACTTTTTTTAAAATATCGAATTAAAAATTACACAAGCGCCAATTTATTAATATTTAGGCCTATACTTAATTTAATTTTAAAAAGAATTAATTTAAATATATATACACATATGTATATATTTATTTATTTTTCGGTTCTAACCCTGAATATTTATCCATACTATCGATTTAGAACGTGGGTTTAAAATTTTTATAATAATCGCACGTGAGAAATGTTTCAGGGTGGGGTATGCATTTGTGATAAACCTAATTTAAATAATTAAGAAAACAAAATTAATAATAATAAACACGATTTAATTAAAAATAATAAAATTTCAGGTGAATTGAAATCGTTAAGGGAAAGTTCTACTCGACAGGGGCTACAGGGATGCACTACAGCAATGCAGGTTTGCGCAGTACTGAGTCCAATCGACCGGGTTGAGTCCAGCCCGTCCTTACGTTGCCTATGTAGTCACAATGCGTGAGTTAGCGGGCAAAGCAAAGCAAATCCGTCGTCCTATCGCAACTACTTAGTTAAACGTTGCCGAGCAGAAAGTATTTCGATTGAAAAAGATGATTAATTCTGTTCTAAATCTGTGTCGAGTCTGTCCCGTGCCGACGGAGGACAAGGTAAGTCTTGTAGGGGGAAAAAATAAATAAATAAAAGATAAAGCCAAACCTCTCTATAACGGCCACTGACAGGTTCCTTTAAAAAATGGAGGGTTGGAAGTTATTTCGTATATATTTCTGTTCAACATTCCTGAAAAAAATGGCCGCCGTTTAGAGGTGGTCGTTATCGGAGGTTCGACTATAACAGGAAATAAAATAATAAAAGCCAATTTTTATGTAACAATTTGAAAATATTCCATTAAAATTGGTTTTAAAATTCCAGGGGGACTTTCGATGGAAAACTGGCTCCTATTTAGGTGTTATACATGAAGAAAACCCGGAAAACGCCACGTGACTTGTTTGTTGGCAAGACGCGAACCCACGACCAACTAACTACCCAATGTTCGGTGATATTATCCACTAGGCCACTTTCGGGAGCCTTGAGGCCCCTTACAACAGTGGCGTGTTATAGCTTCATTGTCACCCAGGCAAATTTGAATTAGGGAGACCCATGTGCAGTGTTGACTTCAGACATTTTTCTTCGGGGAAACTTTTTGGGGAAAGATATTTTATAAAAGATTAATTTGGGGACCCTGTTGGTGGATGCCCCAGGAAACTGCCCCTTTCCCCACGGAATAAAGCGCCACTGCCTTATAAATAAATACAGCCTAGAAGTTACGTCTACAGTGGTACAGGAACGAATGCAGATTTGCACTTCTAATTCATAACCCTAATATTGGTTCTAGTTACTCTACTGTTGTAAGGACTTTATTGCTTATTTTCAATTACTATTTTAAACACATATTTAAATTTCTTTAATGCATATAATTCCCTTAAATACAAATATCTACATAAAATTATAATTAATGGCTTAATACATTTATGAATCATGTTCCCATTTTAAATTGTTATAACTTTATCTCTTCTATAAACAACCGCTTCATACCGGTATACATAAGCTTCTATATAATTTCCTTCTCATGTCTAAATTCCTACATCTCATTTATAAAGCCGAGTATATCTTTAATATGTCGAAATTTACTCATTGAAGATGATAATGATAAACTCGAGATTTACTCAAGAAGATAGAGAATTATTGCTCTCTTAATTTACATAGTTTATATTATTTAATTATAAATTGATTTTCTTCATGTACACAAGTTATTTTAAGAAATTCTACGGTTTTTTTAATGATTTTATTAGCAATTTTGGCTTCGCCACATCAATATGTATGTAAGTTTAGATGGTACAATAATAAAATAACTCTTAATATATACAGAGCAGGAATATACTTACAAGTAGAAAGGGTATGTTATCAGCAGAATAAATAATTGTACAATTATGATATACAGAACAATAAGTAACCGCATAATTTAGCAGTAAATTGAGGTATGTCTTTCCTCATTCCTCTATGCAATTTTATACATATACTGTACTTAATCAATTGTTTTAAGTTCTACTGTTGTATTCTACTATGTATCTAATTGTAAGAAAAAAATATATAGAATAGATCAAATACAGTTCTTTAAACTATATTTGAGAATGGAATACCGAATGAGAAACAACTTATGGAATACCGAATGAGAAACAACCCAAAATATCAAGTAATCAACCATTACGACATACTACTTTTATCGTTATTAAGTCAAAGGATGGGTGAGTTGTTTCATGCAAGAAAAAATAATGAATCCTAACAGAAAAATCAATTTATCATTCTAAAAAATCTTTTATTTCAATTCACTTCATCTATGATGCATTATATGCGGGATTAGAATCAATTCGTAAGTAGAAATTTATGAGTTTAATGGAAAAGAACTGCAAATTCTTCTTCAACAGACTTAAGAGATCATTGTATTTATGTGAGAATCTCTCACGCAATCAATTCTAAAAGCTTAACTAATATGTTTTTCTTTTAAAAAATATATAAATAAATGCACTTACCGACATTTTCTATTATTTTCCTTCCTATAAATATTATATTTAAAAAGAAAAAACTCTTTATGCATTAATGTAAAATTCTTCAGAGCAGACTCCACTATGGAATATTGAAGATCGATGAACGTCGGTCGTTTATTGATTACAAATTACAATTTTAAAAGTTAGTATAGGCCCTAATATTCAAATTAAGAAGTAGTAAAGCGTAAAAAACAATATATTTACATTATTTTTCAGAAAGAATAATTGATTTTGCTGATTGAACTATTGCTCTTTGAGACTTAAAAAAAAAGTCAAAAGAATCCATCCATGGAGTCACGCTACAAACTAATCTCTTAAAAGTATTACACTATTGAAATGTGTCATTTATTTCTTTCATGTTTTTTGTTTGAGATTATCCTTTCAGTATTATAAAATGTCACTGTATTATTAAATATCTCATTGTTTTTATTCTGTTCAATATTCCCTTTGGTATATTCTCTTAAGTACTTTTGCTATTCTATTTACTTGGAAATTTTTGTAATTTTTTTGATATTTTCACCTTATATACGCGTATATACAGTACATTCTTATAAAATTTCAATAATTTTTTTAGTTTTGTTTATATTCACATCAATACTTTAATCAATAAAATTATTTTATTGATTAAAATACATTTATTCTTTCAGTTTTTATTATTTAAAACACATCTTTTGTAAAATATTTTTATAATAGTCAAACCTCTGAACAACGGACAGTCATAGAAACATTAAAAATATTCGGGGTGGCCGTTGTCTGGAGGTTATTTGGTACGCATTTTTCTTTTAAAAAAATGGCCGTTTTGGGGAGGTGGCCGCCATTAGAGGTTCGACTGTACTTTACCTTCATAAATATTTATAAAATTCTAATATATTTGCATGTTTTATTTCGTAAGAAGTTCCTTCCTCATTTATGAAATATGCAAAANAATGGCTTAAGGAAAAGGAAAATTATATATATTTTATTAGTTTAAAATAAAGGTTAGTTTACATGTTTTTTTTTAATATATAAAAGTAATCGAGTGAATGAGGTTGAGTAAATGTCGAATGGCGATTTGTGTTGGTGTTATCATCCTTGTCGCCTGTACTCCTTTCTAATTTCGCTTTTAGGTGAAGAAGAATCAATTATTTCTTGACATTTTTAATGCCTTCTAACGAAATTTTCGTTCAAATCTTTCTTTAAAAGTTTCTCTCTCTCTCTTTTTTTTTTTTTGTTAAAAATAATCTCGAGTTAATTTCCTTTTTATTCAATCAAACTTAATTGCCATAAAATGATAAAGGTTTTAAATTATTAAAGTTCCTTTTTCAAATATCTGATTTACTAATAATCGTTAACTAACTGTGGGTTTTAATGACTTTTTTTTTTTTTATAAGATGACAACACGTTAATGCTATTGAATCGAATTGTATAAATTTTTTGCCATTTTTTTCCTTTTTTTCGGTTCTTTTTACTTTTCGATTTTTCTTTTGAAATTTTCTTTTGTCGCTGAACAAAAAATAAGAATTTGTTTTGATATTTGAAATTTTTATCTCGGTTATTTCCTACTTTAAGTACATCCATGCTTGATTTTTATGAATGTTACTGCTGTTTCCCCCCCTTCTCCAGTTGTCGACATTTTCTGGATCTATACTCGTTTATGTATGAACGATTTTTTTCCATTCTTTGTAGACATTCTATCGATAATGGTTTTTTAATATTTTTTAAAAAAGACTAAAAAGTATTTTGCATAATAGAAATAAATTAATTTCTAATTAGCGCAATATCCGATTTCATGATTCCAATGTTGAACAAGAGGTAATAGAGTCCTTTGTTAAATATTACACGTTATCTAAAAATGCATAAGTTAAATTTGTTTTAACATAAATTATTCTAAACATATCGGTTTTTCATTATTAAAAGAAGTAAAAAATGAAGAATTAGGCCTATATCGGATTTTTCTCTTTGCTTTACTAAGAATTTGTTTACGATTGTTTAATATTACTTAGCTCGAGAAGAGAATCGATTCGTCTTACCTTCATCAAGTAGATTTTTTTTTCTTTTCTTCTTCTTCTAAATTACTAGTATTTTTTAGTACAAATTAACTCGTTTAAAAAATCGTTATCGAATTCTATTTTTGATTCACCATCTTTGATTTTTTAGTACAAACTGTGCAATTTAATTTTATATAGTCAAAAAGTACTTAAGAACTTTATCTACAATCTAATGAAGCAACTCTTTTTCTTCTTTTTTTATCTTGAGTTTCTTAAAATATCTTTAAATAAAATTTAAAAGAATCCGTACAGATTAAATTTCAATTAAATCTATATAATTAGAAATTTAATTTAAAATTAATTGCAATAATCACCGTATGTATATATTGAGATTATTAAAGATTAATTAGAAATTTAAATGATTTTCAATCGGTAAAGTTAGGTAGATTGTAATAGAAAATTAATGATTTCTTATAAAATATTTAATAGATGAATACAAAGTTTTATAAAAATAAATCTCGAGGTCGCAGACTAATAACTAATATAAAAATAGAACAGATTTACCTAAGTAATTTGTAGATTAAAACGTTGTTAATCCGCGAATATAATCCATTAAAAGATGATCTACTGTACTGTAAGCCTATGTTCAAAGCTGATTCAAGGTCTTGCAAAGCATGGTTTGCAAAGGATTGCTTTTACCTCTATATTATTTGATTCTTCATAATTTGACAAGTACAAAAATAGTGCCAAATCATGTAAGATTGTATCAAGTATTAATTTCAAGAATAAATCCTTTATTTATTATAAAACAACTTTAAAATTGAGCCATAAAAAGAGGAATCAATGTTAAAATCGTATTAAATCATGTTGCTTATAAATTTCTTATGCTTTATTTTATAGCTTTGTGGCATGAGAGTTTGAGAATCTATAAGAAATTTCGTGTAGAAAATTTTAAAATTCTAACAGAACATTTAAAAAAAAGCTCTTAGTTTGATTGAGTTTTTTATATTTTTTTATTATTGATGGTAGATAAATGCAATTAAAAAACTCTAATCGGATAAATCATATAAAAGATGTCAAGATAAAAATATTTTTAGTAAGTTTTAGTGTTCTTACAACGTTCGAAAATAATAATTTGATATGATTAATGGCGTACAAGTGGGTTACAATGAAGATATTTTTAGATTATTGAAAAATTTCCAATTTTTTAAGATTTTTTTTTAAAATTCACCGAGTAAACAAACTTAATTACATGATAATTTATGTAAAAATGAAGTAACAAAAGTTTATATGGTGAAAATTATGAAGACAAACTCTTGCAGTTTTGAAAAGAAACTGATCTTTATTATTTCTGAAGGTTCTGCAACGTGTCTCAATTCATTTATTTAATTAAATAAGATCGAAAATTTAATTTAAGAAAATACTGCTTGTCTGCTCAGTTTTAACGTCAGTCGAATAGTCAAAGTCGCATAGAGTTAAAGTAGTCCTGATTCAATATCGGGTTGAACTTCCTACAATGTCCATAAATCTATAAATCACTTTTATATCCATTGAGCATAAAGAGAAAAATCGGGTAAAATAGGATTATATATATATATATATATATTTTTTTTTTATCGAAAAACTCATAAAAGTTGAAAATTATAGAAAATTTGTCTACAAACATTACAAACAAACTAATGTAGACATTTTATGTAAATTATATTGCATAGTTTGTGAGGAAAAAAAATTCCAAAGTGTAGAGAAAAAATGACCAAAAATCTATTCTTAGGACCATAAATTTGATTTTGGTCAAGTTCCAGATTTTTATTCTGCAGAAAGTTTACAGAATTAACTTGTCCTTTCGGTTATAAAGGACTAAAAATATTATTTAAAAAAATGTATATTTTTTTCCTTTTCCTTTAAACATTATTATTTTTTCATTTTTATAAAAGTCATTATTCATTTATTCGCTACATACGTTAAGACTCAAGTAATCCTCTAACTTAATCTAAATTATGTAAATACAAAAGCTGTGTATTAAACAAAATAATTAATGCAATAATATACCTTCTCGACTAATACGAAGAAAATTTATATAAATTAAATAAGACTGAAGTAATAGACAAAATTCTAAGAACATGTAGGCTTAATGTATAAAATCATGGGTGCTTTCATTATCTTTATAATAAAACTAATGAATATTAATGCTTTATTCAAACTGGAAACTAATTTCCTGCTGTCTTTTAAAATGTTAGAACGCATTACTATCTTTATTTAATACTAATTTGCATTCGTAAAATGTTCGTTCGTTTACTGTTTATCTTAATTTTTTTAGGTGAATTCGGAATACAAACAAAATTTCACGTGGAGGGACAGTTACCAGACAGGGAAACCAGATATAATCAAGCAAGCACCATCAGCATGTAAGTAACAATATTATATTGTTAATTTTGCTGATACGGAAAATTGGTTACATCTAATGGCAAATTGTTGTAATTTAATCTACCAATTTTTACTTTAAAAAATTTAATTATATACATAGATTATCATGGAGATGATTAATTAATAAAGAAGTCTACACAATGATATTTTCAGGATGAATGGAAAGTCTCTGTAAAAACCTGAATAAATGTACTTGGGGTGTGCATTGCACGTAATATCAGATGCGTTAACATGCATTTGTATGCGCATTAAGTTAAATGGTAACCATAGAGATCACATTCTGCGACTTCTAAGTCACAGAACCTGCATATTCGCATAATAAAGCGAATTCGTTGCTTATATATGGTGACTTTTGAATCACTCTGTATTTAAAATATAGGTTCACCTCAGTGCAGAACTAGAGAAATTGTTAATGATCTTTTAAAAATCTATTTCTTGCACTTATTTCTTCTATAATATGAATCATTTAGTTTTTAATTCGTATAATATGAAGCACTTATAATAAATTTAATTCGCAAGATAAATGCTAAGAAATTAATGGAAGCTTGTTCGATTCGTCAGTAACTAAATATATCCGCCGTGATTGACCTAAGTGATATTAGAGATAACGTTGATAGTTGTAACGTTTCAATGATTAATAGAGCATATTGTGTTTGCGAATGCTGTAAAGGAAAAATAAATGGTCCTTATAATCTTACAGGCTTGTAAGAATCCACAAAACTATGTAGACTTTGCATAAGACATAAATAATCTTCGAGTAAAGAATTGGAATGTAGTCATCTATCTTAATTGAAATTTATGATCATGCGAAATGGAAAGATTTTTCTATAGAATTTTACTGTTAAATTGGAAAATATAAATAAATACGAAAGAAAAATCTAATTCGAATTTAATATTAATAATATTTACTGAATTCAAAGAATGTCTTGAGTTACATAAGGAATTCAGATAGTCACTGAATGGCGATTGCTTCAACAGGCTATAAAACCTACGGGCATGTAACTGTAAATGAAAATATATTTTCATTAAAGAATTTTGTTTACAAAGTATTTATTTTGAAGACAATTTTGTTTATTAAATTTATATATATACACATATATATATATATTAATTGAAGTGATACAAGACTATAACATCCTTCATATCAACTCAGAATTCCGAGCTTGCTTCCTAGAGGAAGTAAAAATATCTGTAACTATTTATCGTTTAGAACGTCTGACAATTGAATCTAATCTTCAGGTACAGAAAGACTTACCTTTAAGAAGTAGAAAAGGAAAGCGAACGAAACTATACAACTGTACTTCTCACTATGAAAAACTTGCCACTATCCACGAAGCTCAGAAAATATATATTAAATTAAACGTTTTCTTTGAAAAAAATAATAATTCTAATGAATATACATAAATTAGAAATAACTCAATCTTAATTCTGAGTTTCTAGTAACGTTTCAGAATGTGATACATATTATCAGTACTTTATATAAACTTAAATAATATAGACATAAAATAGAGTACAGCATAAAACTGTTTTATGTCTATATTAATGTAGTTTGTGTAATAATTTTATTATTAAGGAAACGTATAAATAATAATAATATTTTATATATCATAATTATTAATATACAGTCAAACCATGTTATTACGTTATCGGTTTATGAGAAGTAGATTTTGCGATCTCGTGGACGAGAGAGGATAGGAATTTCAATGTTAACGAGTTCGGTTAATACGAATTTCGCTAATACAAAATGCCAATTTTTAAGTCTCTTCGACTTTGTATTAACGGGGTTCGACTGTAATAGCAAGTTTTTCTCAGTTATTATATTAAAAGATGGATTTTTTTTAAATGTAAGAAATTGAATTTATTAATATTGCTTAAAAATCTTAAAATTTGTATAATTTTTTGAGTTACAAATAATTTTATTTGATACTATTTTTAATGTTGGAAAGAAAACCCAAAATTTTGGCCCAAAGTTTGGATTATCTTCTCATTTCTAAACCAAAATTAAATAAAATTTTAATAAAAATATACAATGGGAAAAACATTTTATTCTCAAGAATTCATATTCAAGAAATATAAATTCTTGAAGAGTTAAAATTTAGACCGGATAAGTCCAAACAAAAATCTCCTTTTTTTCTAGGTCATTAACCAAAAAGTCGTTTATAGATTTGTGACATTTTCCGAATACCTTACAACTAGTTTTTTTCTAGAATAAAATTTTCTATGATTTTTCTGTAATTAATGTTGTTTGTTGCTTTATTGGTTTAACACAAAAACAGCTTAATGTTCTTTGAATGGATTGTTCTAAAAGCACTTTGATGATTTAATTTACGAATATAAATGTGTTTTTTTTAATTAATAAATAATAATATACATAACAGCATGAACCACTAAGCACTATTTCTACTGTACTAATGGATTTAATTAGCAAAATGATATAAAAATGATGTTAACACATCATTTTTAAATAATCTTTTAAAAACTGTTTAAATAAGCAATTTAATAAATCTTGAAAGTTTATTTTACTCATTATATCCATAAATATATGCATTTATTCCATTAGATGTAACAAAATTAATGTTATTTTTTGCCAATACACTAATTGGTACTGTGTATTGGTAGATTTGTAGGATTTATGATCTGAAAATTAGTGTCTATAATTGAAGATGACAGGAAATTGAATAGAAAATGTTCTTTTCTGACGTTCTTTACAGTATTTCTGACTTAGTCAATTTCCTAATCTTTTTTTTGTTTTTTGCTTTTTTTGTGTGAATAAACTTCAAATACCACGACTTTAGGTCTTGATATCGCTTTTTCTTTTTTTCTCTTTCAAGATTCATACGAATTCAAATACTTAACTTAATGATGCATTTTCAATGTACAGGATAATTTATCAACTAGTACAGCTACAATTTTTATTTACGCATAAATTTTCATTTAGACTTAATATATAATTTTTCGCCGTAGATCTTAAATGTCATCAATGTAATAAGTTCTACAGTTCATTAGCCTTTTATAAACTTGTTTTAGTATTATAAAAATTTAATTCACAGATAATGATAAAACTTTCAAATACTATATTTACCGGCGTATAAGACGCACCCCGTTTTCAGGTAGTATTTTTCAGGAAAAAACGTGCTTATTATAACTCCAGAAAATACGGTATATAAAAAATTTACCATTAAAAAATCTAAAACTTAGGCGTACATTCGATTTATTTTTTATAATAAAATATAATTTCTTAAATTGTCTTAATTGCTATTAATATGTATACAAATTAAAGTACATCAGTCAAGGCCGTATTAATGCAAGGCCATACCCAAGAGTAGTCCGGGACCTTGCCTTCTTAGGGCATCACTTCACTGCTCATTTCTAATTAAAATCTTTGTTCTATATCTATATAATGTCTCTAAAGAAATTGGACCAGAATCCTGAAGTATGCCCAAAATTGCTCCGAAATCAATATCGTGCTTTTTTGTATATTTGTCTAATTAAAAAAAATTAAAGTTAAAGACAAGAACTTTATTAATATTTTTATATTATTTCAGTATAACCGAATGTGTGTATTTCGTTTAGGATTGGCTTATGGCAATAATTTTAAGTCAGTGAGCAGCACCTAACGCGATTTACGTGTATATCAAAAGTTATTGTATATTCATATATAATTAACGTTATAATTTATTTAATATTTTCTACTATTTTATTGAAAATACTAAAATACAATACACAATTTAATCTAACTGTATATGTATTTATAATACATATTAAAGAAGGGTTGCTGCAAGAAAAAAAATTATCAAGTGCGGTGCCAATACTAGAAAAAAGGTGAAAAACACTGACTTATGGAATGAGCTCTAGAATATGAACGAAATTACTGTAGAGAACTTATCACACAGGAACAATTTTTGATGGAAAAAGTAGACGACCTTAGTTTAAAAAATCTTCCTGTGTGATAAGTTCTCCATAGCAATTTTGTGCTTAATTCCAAAGAACAAAAGAGAGAACAAGAAGCAATCAAGTACTAAAGCTCTAAAATAATTGTAATAAGTTATATGTTTATATTATTCTAAATAATATCGGAGACAACAATTCTTATATTTACGTTAACGCCAATAACGAACGTTATTACCACATTCAACACTAAATAAACCATTAAATTTTGTGAATTTGGCATATAACTCGAATGCATCATAGTTTTGTTGAATGTAGCAAAACTGACATATTCTTTATAGTTAAGGAAACAAGCATTCTTCTTTTTTGCCAGCTGAATCTCTCTCCGGGATTTCTAATAGACAATGATTGATGTACCACTTTTCTGCCTTAATTCCTTCACATGAACGACGCTATTCATGAAAAGATGGCGGAGATGAACTTTTGATTGATTCCCCAAAAGTACGCCTCTTCTCTCCTAACCAATGTTCTTTAAGAATTTGCTATAATGAACAATCCTGAATATAGAAGTCGACTGAAGTGGACAATACTAAATTGTGGTAGTATAGAATTTGGATTTTTTGTAAAAGAATATACAATTCTATTTGAAATTTTTGTGATCAATATATTTCAAGTTCTGTGTTTAACTTGGTTTATTTGTTTTTCTTTAGTGTATATCCAACTCGTATCTTTCTATTTGATATCATAAGAAAGGTTTTTGCGCAGTGTTGTTAGTCATAACTTATTGCTTTACAGAAACGTATGAAATGCGAGTACAGTACTTTTAAAACACACAATAAACGAAAGGTGTTTTCCTCTTTATAATAAACTTATAAATATTTCTTCAGAAATTGTAATAGAACACAAAACCATTCATGAAAGAACTTTTTCCAGATTCACTCTAATCAATCATTTATCCATGACAGCAATATCAACATAGATAAAGAATATGTGATCTTTTACTCATTGACTATGTATTAAGAAGCTTGTAATTACATATAGCAATAGTATTATGATTAAACACACGCACACACATATATAGGCTATATATATA